AACAATAGTGACGGTGAAATCCTTCTGTTAATTCAGTTTAACAATAGTGACGGTGAAATCCCTCTGTTAATTCAGTTTAACAATAGTGACGGTGAAATCCTTCTGTTAATTCAGTTTAACAATAGTGACGGTGAAATCCCACTGTTAATTCAGTTTCACAGTAGTGACGGTGAAATCCCACTGTTAATTCAGTTTAACAATAGTGACGGTGAAATCCCACTGTTAATTCAGTTTAACAATAGTGACGTGAAATCCCATTGTTAATTCAGTTTAACAATAGTAACTCAAAAGTTGGTAGTGACTAACTGCCTTCCCTCGTTCCAAAATAGCCCTCGTGTAGGTTCGCGTGAAATTCAATCAACAAACCCTCATTTTTACTTATAGATGCGCTTCATGAAAAATGTCCCCCTATACTACCCTAATGTTTTTTCTTTATATAGATTGAATGATCTGATAGAGAGGTAGTTTATTTTCACAAAATATATTGAGAGGTTAACTTAAAGCGTTTGCTGAATAGAATATAACAGATGTACAGTAAGCTTTCGTGCAACAGAAACAGAAAAAAAACAAAAACACTTACCTGGGGAAGACCAGCGCCATCTCGTGGTGTAATCGTAGCCTCTCCGATTCCACTATCGGGCGAGGGAAGGTCAGCGGTCAGTCCATGCACAGTCTTATAGTTGCTATTCTGGCGGATGAAGCGGTCAACAAGGGCCACACTCTCGACAGTATCTGGGTACGAAGCTATCTGCTGACGACCAGTTTGATACTGTTCAGTAACGGGTGTGCCAATATAAGCATACAAGTCTCTGTAGTGATCTGCAGCGGTCAGTGTATAGATAGTCGACCCTGCCGTCCGGTTGACCAGAGAACTCTGTGTAACGTATTGGGGAACGGTGACCACAGCATTGGCCAGGATACTGTACTGGCCGACCCCTAGCGGCTCGTAACTAGACTGCGTCGACGGTATATCAGAGAAAACCTACAGGTTCAAACAGAATTGTTGAAGTAAGGAATGGTACCACGAATAAAATCAAATAATAGTTTAATAAACCATTAAAACTTGAGGGAGTGTTGCCATAGCGATAAGACCGTGTAGAATGGTTTAGATACTTGTAGAAAGGACTTGTGAAAAATACGATAAAATTAACACGAGCCAGCCCGGCATCTAGATGTAGATAAAACAATTAGCCATTCCTGAAAGGTTTGGATTAGACAAAGAGAAGACGTTTAGCACTATTTTCGAGGTCTAGATATCGCTGGACCAGACTCGTGACCTGACCCGAGACCATGAAAGCCAATATGGTGAAGTTAACTTGTAAATGTAAAGTAAAACGATGTATCAATGAAACGTGCTTGAAATGTTCTAGATGTGGTTGTGAATGTGATGGTTTAATGTAAAGTAAGACGATGTAACAATGAAAAGTGCTTGAAATGTTCTAGATGTGGTTGTGAATGTGATGGTTTAATGTAAAGTAAGACGATGTAACAATGAAACGTGCTTGAAATGTTCTAGATGTAGTTGTGAATTTCATTGTTACATCGTCTTACTTTACATTAAACCATCACATTCACAACCACATCTAGAACATTTCAAGCACGTTTCATTGATACATCGTTTTACTTTACATTAAACCATCACACATGCTTGAAATGTTCTAGATGTAGTTGTGAATGTGATGGTTTAAGTGAAACATACTTGAAATGTTCTAGATGTGGTTGTGAATGTGATGGTTTAATGTAAAGTAAAACGATGTATCAATGAAACATGCTTGAAATGTTCTAGATGTAGTTGTGAATGTGATGGTTTAATGTAAAGTAAGACGATGTAACAATGAAACGTGCTTGAAATGTTCTAGATGTGGTTGTGGATGTGATGGTTTAAGTAAACTAAAACAGTGGGTCCAGTTTGGATGACAGCGAAATATAAAACAATAGTATCATTATCTTCAAGATGGGGGGTTGGAATCATTAGTTTCAATATTGTGTGTCACTAAGGACACAGTAAAACCTAAAGATACAGTATTGAAGTTGAAGCAGATATACGATGATTTCCCTAGTGATTTTCACATTTAAAATGTCAATGAACGGTAAATATAAGAAGGTTGGTACCACCATAGTATAATACATATGGATTTTATCATGTCATATTTTCATTAATATATATTCATCCATCGAGATCTGTCGAAATAAGCCTAAACCACCGGTTACCGGAATGACCCCCTGTTGACCATCCTAGGCTCAGTACTAAAAGATGCTGGGCTGGCTCGTGTGGCAGATGTTTTAAACTAACTACTGACCTGTACAGAGTTGTACGGTTGTGTAACAACGGCTGCTGCCTGTAAAGATGTTACAGTGGGTTGGGGAGAACACGTGTCTATCTCACGACCCTTGCTAATGTCAGGAGAAGTGTCGCCGGCTACTGTCACCAGATCAATGGCTTGACCAGGAGATTTTAGATCAGAGGATTGAGATGTCATGGCCAAAGGGGAAGGGCTTTCTTGTTTGACCTGCACGAGCACGGGTATGGCAGTACTGGTCTGAGTGGGGGAAGGATATCCGGGGGACAAGGCGGTATCCCCATTGGATAGAGAGGAGATGAGCGAGGGGGGTACAGATTTCCTATGATCGTGTTTGATTGAATCAGTCGATGAGAGTGAATTGGATTTAATACGATTAACTAAACTTAGAGAGTCCGTTAGTTCCTCCGGCTCCCGTTTGATGGCGACACTATTAAGATAGATATCCATTTCTTCGGCCCTAGTACCGGATGCCAGAGCACTAGCCACGGCAGACGTCATATTTTTTATGTGAGGTCGTGAATGTTCTGTTGGATGAGGAATACAGGAAGCTACGGTGTTCGTGCGGATCGATGACGTCACGGATGAACTGAAAATATCGAGTAAAGCTATCGATGATTTAGAAAAATAAATAATAATAAATAAATAAATAACAAATCACTAATTCCTGTATAATTTCCTACTTTTTGAAATCATCTTAAGTATCTTCTGTATTATAAACAGTTTACTGACTATCTTCTACACTGTATTATAAACAGTTTACTGACTATCTTCTACACTGTATTATAAACAGTTTACTGACTATCTTCTACACTGTATTTGTACTGACTATCTTCTACACTGTATTATAAACAGTTTACTGACTATCTTCTACACTGTATTGATACTGACTATCTTCTACACTGTATTATAAACAGTTTACTGACTATCTTCTACACTGTATTATAAACAGTTTACTGACTATCTTCTACACTGTATTATAAACAGTTTACTGAATATCTTCTACCCTGTATTTTTAATGACTATCTTCTACCCT